ATATATAAATATATACTATTCTTCGTGTATTGTATGTGGCTGCTTGATTTATTTAGTTGATTTATTTAAATTTCCTGACGTCACGTATTGCACGACTGTGACGCTGCAAATCTTGGCTAGCTACAATATATTTATGTATGTCTGTATATACATACATATGTATGTGTATTGTATACACATATGGATATGGATATATACCTTTGTCTGTATCTATGTATTTGGCCAGCTCTTAGCAACGAAATTATTCAAATCGAATAAATGTCAGATGAACGCATATATAACATCAAACATAACATATTTCGCTTAATAAAATACATTTGACAAACATATTCCCATACGAATAATCGTTTATGCTAGCCAAGAGTAGAGAGAGCGAGCGAGAGAGTCAAGAACAGAGAAAGAGAGCATCATAAATAATTTCATCAACAAAAAATCTACGGGATTAGTTGAAGAGGGAAGATGAGCAGCGAGTATGTATGTATGAACATAAATACATAAAGATATATACATACAAACATACATATATATGTAAATTAAATAAAATTCAACAAATTGCTATGCTCAGACATTGAGCAGAAATAGCAGCAGGAGCACCAGCAGCAACAGCAGCAACTATACAAAACAGTAAATAATTCTCTTTAGTTGCGTTTTATTTTTAAATTTAATTCAATTGCAGACATAACCTGCGATTGTTGCTGCTGCTGATGATGCTGTTACTGTTGTACATATAACGGTGCCTGTCTCCTATCAAAACAACAACAAGAACAACAGCTACAATAACAAGAACCATAAAGAAAGACAAGATGGAGAGCAGGCAAACAGCTTCCACATATGCCTGCACTATTTACTCTCACATGGAGAGCGGGAAGTGCAGCTAATTGAATTGAGAGTCACTCAACGAAGCGCTGATTGTCAAAACTGAGAGCGCAGCCTGTTACAGTTATCCATTGTGATGAATTAAATTTAACTTGTTATTAACTGTAATTGAGAATCATTCTATGCACTATGAGGAAAGCAATGAAGACTGACTGACTGACGACGGACAAAGAGTGAGAAAGAGAAGGAATGCAGAAATCAGTCAACAATAAAAATGCACTGTATACAATACACTAACACAAACATACATTGAATGAGAGCGTGTAAGTGCAAGGTACAAAACTTGTTCGGCTGTGTGCATGACATTGTGAGTGTGTGTATGTAGGTGTGGCCACACGAAAATAAGCGACTATAAACAATATTCGGCACGCACTCACCTTAGAGTCCGTTTGGGTCCCAATTTTAGTGTTGATTTGACTTGGGCTGCATTCAATTTTTTTTGTGACGCCCTTTTTTGTTTGGCACATGAACAAGCAAACACTCACTAACACTCACACACACACATGCAGAAAGAGAACAATATTATTCATATGCATATGAATATACGCACGGACATATGTATTTCCATCTATATACATATATATTGCCTACACTTGATTATGAATATTGCCAACTATTCGAAAATTTTCACTGGTATTCGATTTTCATTTGCTGAACTTTTTTGGCCGTTTTCTTTATGCGTTGACTGGCGCTGCTCTGTGCGCATCACAAAATCTGCCGCAAAATCCGCATTGCAAGCGAGCAATTAAATTTGAATGTTTATTTCGTTTTCACTGCACGATAGTTTTAAACATTTTCTTTGTAATTATTAGGTGCACTTTAACTGTATACCAAAATTAGTTATGCATTCTAATAATGCGGTCCGTAACATAACTCTTCTCACCGCTCGAAATCAACACACACTAATTGCTATGACAAGCTATCGATGATGTCGAATTCATTATCGATGTACAACCCTGTCAGTGCGATGATGATAAGTGCTGGAAAGTTCCTAAAGCATGCACGCAAGAGCTAAATGATATAAAACACTGGTTACTGAAATTCAAAATTGTTTAAAAATGTTCAATAAAGATTAATAATTGTTAACTATAAAAACTCAGGAGACTTTGTGGATATTATCTTTTAAATTGTTTCAAGAATTACGTGTTTTGCAAGTACAATAACAAATTGGTATTTATTAGGGCATATTTAGTATATAGGACGGTTTCCAAGCATGGCCACACTGCAAGCGTATCTCTTTTTCATATTTTCTTTTGTGTATTGTTTCTCGCTCTCGCTTGAACGGTACGGACGTGTACTGCCGCTGCGCGTGTGTGTTTTAACTTGGCTTAAGGAAAAAATACTTAATTATACAATACACATGTATTTTGTTCTTTCATATACAACAAATTACATCCAGTATACAAGTGCAGTGGGTTTGACATACATACACAGCGTACGGCATGGCAGGCAAATGCTATACTAAGCAAAATACATAATTTAAATTACGTGAGTGTTTGTATGCGGTGCACGCGATAGAGCGAGCCAGCAAATCAGTGCCCAACATAGCCGCGTAGCCGTGTGAAAGAGAAGCAGAGCATCTAAATTGCTTGTGCTTCTTGTTATAAATGTGACGACGAAAATGGCTTAAAGAAAAAGTAAAATATTCGGAGTCGGCACGCTCGTGTGTGTGCTGTCTTTGTGTGTGTGTGTTTCTGTGTTTTTAAATGTGTAGTGTATGTCTTTGTTTGCTTCGAGTTAAAAATGAAATTTATTATCAATTGAAGTATATATAATATTGCAAATATTTTATAAAAGAAAATTTGATCAACCATATGCAGCAAGAATAAAATAAGAGGCTGTATCGTCTGTTCAATAAGTGCAAAGAAAATAAGAAGCGCATGCCGCTCTCGTCGTTGTGTACGTGAGTGCGATCATTGTGAATGTGTGTGTATGCGAGTGCATGCATTTGTGCGGGTATATGTATACAAAAGCAGCAACAGCAGCTGAAAAGTGTATTATCGCAAAAAATATCTGAAACAAATAAAAAAAATCCTTTAAGAAATGCAAAATTATTTAATATTGCATATTTTTTGCAGCGCTTGCTAAATATCAATCACATAACAACGAAGTAAATATAATTAAAGTGCAAAAGTGTGGGTAACAAATACCAAAACAAACTAAGGTTTCGCCAAATGGTATTTTTGTCTTCCTCACCAACTCGGCTCGGTTGAGCCCGCCTAAAATGTCACATAACAGTAACAACGAATGGAATAAGTACTAAAGACTTTGATCAAGTATAAAAAAAATACTGAAAGACGGCACGAGAGCGAGAGAGCGGAAAGCAGCAGAAATAGGCAGTTAACGGTGATCGAGCGAGGGCGGAGAAAAATGTGAGTACCACCACCCAATGAAGAGCGTATAAACGCTCTTGTTTCTATTACATACATCTGCATATGTATGCGTTTGTTATTGTGTTTCTTTTTGTATGCGACGTATCAGTAGCGATTCTTATATTTTTTGTTCATTGCCTATGCATTGCGACTTTGTAAATTTGTGGTCGCGCAATCTTTCCGTTTACAATGGAGCGGAAAAAATTCTTAATTTTCTTTTCTCTTCGTTGTGGTTATTACTGATAGAGAGCAACAGCTCTTAATGAGCGGAAGCGGAGTAGACCTTTGCTGCTGTAACTGCTTAGAAATTGATTTATTCTCTATAAAATTTGACAGATTTTTATAAAACGATAAATATATATAGATGTATATGTAAGATTTCAACAACAAAACATTCTGTTACGCTGTCAATCAAACAAAAAATCCAATTAAAGCTCAAATCAAAACAAGCAGCGAGCTCTGAAAGACATGCACAAAAAGAAAAAATAAATAAATAAAATAACAACTGTGCCAACTACTTGGATTTGAGCACGGTACACACACATATACATACATATGTATGTATGTGCCAATTGGGCATTCTATTTATGTATATACATACATATGTATGTATGATGCTTGCCCGTTTGCATTCGCTTGTCAATTAAACTGCACTTCCAATTCATAGTTATTGTTGCTATTCGTTTCTATGATTTTTCTCTTTGACAAGCCCCATACAGCAGCCGCCGCCGTTGCCTTTGACTGCGGCTTAAAAGCCTTCAGTTTAATCATTTCTCTTTCCGTTTTGGTGGCCTCTGCTTTGTTGCTGCGGCTGCACAATTTCATGCCGAAAGAGAAATCCATAAAAAAAAGCGTACAAAGCACAAAACGAAACTCCAAAGAAGCAGGCAAACAAAAAAAATACAAAATTAAATACGAATAACAACAAAAGAGAAAGAGAAGAAAAAAACGTGGCAGCTAAACAAAAATAAGTTGCTCTGTTTTCTTCTCGCTGCTGTTGTTGTTKTTGTCGATGCAGCAGCGTTGGATACACACGAAAAACAGACAACGGCCTCAGTCGTCGTCAGCGGCGGCATCAGCAGCAACTTTACTTGCGTTCGCTGCCTCAATTCTGACTCCTTCTCTTTGTGTGCTTCATGCGATTGTGTATGTGTGCATGTGGGTGTGTGTTTGTGTGATTGTGCTTGCAGCAATCGCTGTCTATGTGTTGTTTGTTGTTGTCTGTTGTCTATTATATTGCGTTGTTTTTGTGCTGTTGCGGTCTCTGTGCGCTTCACTGCATTTACTGCAACAACAACAAAAAAACAAGAAAGCTTTAGACTTCAGTTGCATACATAGCTAATCTATGTATGGGTGTAATGTACCGTTTGTTTGTTGATACCCTGTAAATTGAGATATCTGTTTCATTTTGATTTTTAGATTGTCAAAGATCGTTGAAAATAAATATAAATAAATTAGATAAGATTAAAAAGAAAGCTAAAACAATGTTATATTTTTAGATTTGAGTCTTGTATAATAAAAATATATAAAGTAGCTGTTTCTTCATTCCTTTAAATATTTTTAAAATTTCTTCGATTTACAGTTTTAAAAGAATTCATGTATCTCATTGTTTACACGCTTTAAAAAAATGGTGCCATGTGCGTCTCTTGTTTCTTTTGAGATAATATCTGCACATTAGAGCATTGTATCTATAGGATACAAAAATATCTCTGCTCTATATGTATCTGTGAGGCACTTTGGAGGTCTGGCCCGAACACAAATGCAAGCAACAATGCCATAAAGTATATGTGTGTATGTATATGCACACAATATATATATGTAAATACATGTACATATGTATATGCAATGAAAATAGAAACCACAAAGTAAAAGACCAAAAACAACGAAAATCTTACAGAAATAAAATCGGAATGGTGGAACGGGAGGTCAGATCTCAGCCTGCTGCAAATTGTTGACTGTTTAGAATTGAAAGTTAAATTTAGATGCAATGCAGAAAACGAAAAACAGAACAAAAGTAGAGGGGAAAACAATGGCAACAAAAACAACAATCACAGCAATGCCATTAAAAAGGCAAAGCTCACAGATTCCTATATGTGTTTGTGTGTGTCTGTGAATCTATATGTATATGTATATATGGATGCATAGATGTGTGCCTTGTGGCTATAGCTCGCAGCAGCTACTTTTAATTTTATTTCATTTTCTATGTACGACGCGAGTGTCTTTCTATGTATGTATGAGTATAAGTGTGTGTGTGCGTTTGTCTCTTTTTTGTTAATTGTTTGTATTGCTTCTTTTTTTTTTTTTTTTGACAGTTGAATGAACTCACAGCAAAAGCAGCTGTTAGAGAAAAAATAAAGAAATAGACGCGATAGGCAAACCATATAAGTAAATAATAACGGTGTTAAAGTTAAACAGCTTGAAAGTTATTCAAGTGTGAGTAAGTGAATGAATCAGTAAGAGAGATGGAGATAGCTTAACGAAGAAGAAGAGAAACAACAAAATAACAAATATGTAGGTAAAATTAATAGCTCTCAAATAAGTGCAGTTATACAGTTAAACAAAATTGCTGATTGTAGAAGAGGTAAATATTGTGAGGGTTCTTTACTGTCGGATACTTGGTATTTTTAGAGAATTACAAATAAGATTTATATTAAATACTGAGTAAATTTATATGCTTTCGGCAGTAATACCAAAATAAATATTCAATTATGTTATGGTTAGAGTATTATTATATCATAAAACAGTAAAACTGTAATTAATACTGAATTAATACGGTTGCAGCCGGTGGCATTCGCTTCAATTGATATGAAATACTTTTGACCTAGTTCTCTCTTTCCCTTTTCTCTGCTACTCTACTTTATTGCCATATTTGTTACTTAAGTTCTCTTTAATAGGCTGCTTTTACAAAAATCTCTGCTCATTTCATTTTATGCTGCTGTCAATTGCTGTCTGTGCTCTGCTTTAATCGCACGCAAATTGAACGCGTTTTTCTCAGCTTTAATTCGTTCGACATTCTTCGGTCGTTTCTCACGTTCGCCATTTGACAGTTGGCAATGGATGAATAGCATCTGATATATCACACCTGCCAAAACGGGCTCTCAATTTGAGACTTTTGCAAATGTTGCGCTCCAGTTTTTCACGCTAAAAACCACTTTTCATTTTGGGCTTTGCTGCTTTTTCTACTTTGGCAGCAGCTGCCACGCTAGGCAAAGGAAATCATATACCTCGAGAGAGCGAGAGAGAGGGATAGATATAGAGAGGAGGGATAGAGAGAGATACAGAGAGGACGTGTGCTTGAAAGAGAGCCAAGACAAACTGGCGGCGCTGTCAGTCAGGCAGCAGTCTTTGGGAAATAGCGGCGCGCTGTTAGGATCTTGACTGAAACAAACTGTAAAAAAACAAAAACAAAAAAATTAAAAAGGAAAAACTAATAAAGTTGCCTTTTGCTGTTTCGTTTTCGGTGTTTGCCTTTGCCACGATTTTCCGTTGCAAATTTATACTCTGTATTAGAAAAGGGTTTGCTCAGAAAGTAT